AATTCAATGAACCCCAAATAGGATAGACCCCAAAAGAAAATCACCAGGACATATCATCAAACTTAGCACAACCAAAGACAAAGAATCATGAGAGCGGCACGGGAAAAATTAAAAGTTAAGTTACCTACAAGAGGCAATCAATAAGACTAAGCTCAGATTTTTCGGCAGAAACCTTGTGGGTGAAAAGACAATGGGATGGTATATATAATATCCTGAAAGAGAAAAATTTCCAACCAAGTATTACGTACCCAGCAAAATTGCCCCTCAAATATGATGGTGAAATTAGGACATTTCCATATAAGCAGAAATTAAGGGAATTTGTTAAAACCAGACCAACCTTACAGGAAATGCTAAAGGGAGTCCTGTGACAGAGAACCAACAACGGCCAACAACAACTGACCATTAACACACATGATGATATAACCCAGAAACCAAGCCAGCAATGGAAGTATCCAAAGTAAGTAAGCCTAACAGATTATAAACAGGGAACCAGAGACATCAATTGACAAATGAGGATAGCTACAAACCAAAAAGAGGGAAAAGGCTGTGTCATTACAGAACTTCTAGATGGTAGGGATGTCAAGACTGTTCTAAACTTGGGAAGAAAACTATAAATCACAGGTTAACCGCAAAGAAAAATGATAAACCTTTACATCAAAATAAAAAAGAGGACCAGCATAAATACTCAGCAAATACTAAAACAGTAGCAATGAAGGAAGTGATAACATGACTCATAAAGAAAATGAGCTCAGCATAGAAAGTTATATGGAACAAAGAAATAGACCCAATGAAAAAAGCACATGACAAGGATGACAGCATCAAATTCATATTTGCTGATAATTACATATCAGGCAAGGGACTTATCTCTAAGACTAATGGAAAACTCCAGCACCTCAGCAAAAAGGAATTAACAATACAACTGAAAAATGCATTTAAATAAAATAACAACTACTAACCAAAATATTGGCATTTTGATACCTCCAATGGCTGTACAATCAAAAGTCTTGATGATCTATTCCCATAGATTACAGCCATTAAAACCTTGTGTACTGGTTCTACTCTGAAACACATAAGGCCACTGTGAGTTGGAATTGACTCAACAGGAATGGATTAGAATATATAATTTTGACCTATCAATTAGGTTTATTATTTATTTTGTCTCTTCCAGTGAGGCTATAAAGACCATAAAGGCAGAGTTTTCTTTTTTTTTTTTTTCAAACATCTGTTTCATTTGTTAATGTATTACAAGAGCCTATAACAAAGAAGATGGAAGGAATACACAGAGTCACTGTATCAAAAACAATTGGTCAATGTTCATCCATTTCAGGAGGGGACATAAGATCAAGAACCAATGGTTTTGAAAGAAGTCAAAGCTGCATTGAAGGAACTGGCAAAAAACAATCCTCCATGAATTGACAGAATACCCTCTGAGATGTTTCAACAGATGCAGCACTGGTGGCAGTCACTCACATATGCCAAGAAATTTGGAAGAGAGCTAGCTGGCCAACTGACTGGAAGAGATCTGTATTTGTACCCATTCCAAAGAAAGGTGATCCCACAGAATGTGGAAATTATCGAACAATATCATTAATAGCACACACAATTAAAATCTTACTGAAAATAATTCAAAAATGACTACAGCAGTATATTGACAGATAACTTCCAGAAATGCAAGGTGGGTTCAGGAGAGGATGTAGAATGAGGGATATCATTGCTGATGTCAGATGGATCTTGACTAAAGCAAAAAATACTAGAAAGTTGTTTATTTGTGTTTTATTGACTATCAAAAGCATTTGATTGTGTGGGTCATAACAAATTATGGATAACATTGAGAAGACTAGGAATTCCGGAACACTTAATTGTGATCATGAAGAACCTGTACGTAGGCCAGGAGGCTGTCATTTGAACAGAACAAGGGGATACTGCGTGGTTTAAAATCAGGAAGAGAGTGTGTCAGGGTTGTATCCTTTCACTGTGTTTATTCAATCTGTAGGAGCTCTGGTAGCATAGTGCCTAAGGCACTTGACTGCTAACCAGAGGCTGGCAGTTCAAACCCACCAGCTGCTCCTCAGAAGGAAGGGTGGGCAATCTACTTCTGTAGTGATACCACCTCAGAAACCCAAGGAGGGGTCGCTATGAGTCGGATAGACTCTACGCCACATAACAACAACATTCAATCTGTATGCTAAGCAAGTAGTCTGAGAAGCTTAACTATAAGAAAAAGAGCATGGCATCAGAATTGGGGGAAAGCTCATTAATGATACGCAGACAACACAACTTTTTTTGCTGAAAGTGAAGATGGTTCAAAGCACTTACTGATGAAGATTAAAGGCTACAGTCTGCGGCATGGATTATACCTCAACATAGAACAAAAATCCTCACAACTGGACCAATAAGCAGCATCATGATAAATGGAGAAAGATTGAAGTTGTCAAAGATTCCATATTACTTGGTTCCACAATCAACACCAATGGAAGCAGCAGCCAACATATCAGATGGCATACTGCGCTGGCCAATTCTGCTGCAAAAGACCTCTTTCAAGTGATGAAGAGCAAAGATGTCTCCTTGAAGACCAAAGTGTGCCTAACCCAAACCATGGTATTTTCAGTTGGCTTCATATGCACATGAGAGCTGGACAATGAATAAGGGAAACCGAAGAAGAGTTACTGCTTTTAAGTTGTGGTGTTGGCGAAGAATACTGAAAGCACCATGAACTGCCAGAGGAAATAACAAATCTGTCCTGGTAGAAGCGTAGCCAGAGTGCTGCTTGGAAGTGAGAATGGCCAGATTTCGTCTTAGCTACTTTAGCCATGTTGTCATAAGGGACCGTTCCCTGGAGAAGGATATCATGCTTGGAAAAGTGGAGGGTCAATGAAAAAGGGGTAGGCCTTCAACAAGATGAATTGACACAGTGGCTGCAACAATGGGCTCAGGTATAATAAGGATTGTGAGGCTGGCACAGGACTAGGCAGTGTTCATTCTGTTGTGCATGAGGTCACTGTGAGTTGGAGATAACTCGACAGCACCTAACAACAACAAAACAATGTCTGGCACATAGTAGAAAATCTATGAGTAAGTAAATGAATACTGAAAGCTTTGTGTTTGTTTTTGTTGTTTTTAATCTTCAGATTCTAGATTATTTTCTGCAAAATTGAGGCTCCCAAATTGATCATTGAAGAAGTGGTATACAGTAATATAGTTTACTTTTCCTTTCTTCATTTAAGACAGTTGTATAGTCAGACCATAATTTTTAAGCCTCCTATCATTTATGTTCCTTAAATTTGCATGTCATCGTAGAGTAGTGACCAGGAGCTATATCCCTTTGTCACCTTCAGACTTGGGCTAGCCAATTGATGAATACCTGGAACTATTTTAAACCCTATGGGTCTTTGAGATACAGGTAGAGACCAGCTTGGATGTATCGCTATCAATGCCAAGTAGCTTACAGCCAAGATAACTTTTACTAAAAGTAGTTCACAAAAAAAGGACTCTTCATTACATTGATGGGATTCTGAGAGATCCTTTCCTGTCCCTTCCTATGACCCAAACCAAAATAGTGCTGGAGGCTTAAAAAAATCAAAGCTGGGTTTTGGGTTGCATCTCTGTGATTATACATGATTTAACTATAATGTTTGCATTTAAGCTGAAGCTCAGGGTTTGACTTGTGTTTTAAGCAAGGAAATTTATCATGTTTTTTTGTTGGTTAGTTTTAGAGTATTATAAATGCTAACCAGATGGCTGGCGGTTCAAACCCACCAGCCACTCCTCGGAAGGAAGGTTGGGCAATCCTACTTCCGTAGTGATACTGCCTCGGAAACCCAAGGAGGGGTCGCTATGAGTCGGGGCCAACTCGACGGCACATAACAACAACAACAACAACATTTATATTTCCAGGTGTATTAAACAAGTGAATGGAACAGAACTGTCTCAGTTAATTAGTGCTGCTGTAACAGAAAGAGTTCTTCAAATAGATGGCTTCACAGAACAGAAATTTATTTTCTCATAGTTCAAGAGGGTAAAAGTCTGAATTTGAGGCTCTGGTGGAAGGCTGTTGTGGTGGTTATGTTTGTGTGTCAACTTGGCTAGGCCTGGTTGAGTGGCTGCTCAGCTGGATGTAGTATTCCCTGTGATGAGACTGGTAATCAACTCCATGGTGGTATCTACTGTGAGCAGCTGAGTAGCTGCCTTTGGGTATGTGGTCTGCTTCCTGTACATAAGCAGCAGCTTTGGGAATGGTCTCTAGCATATGGCACGCTTGGACCCTGCATGTAGCTGTGTCATTGCTCAGCAGCCTGCTATGCTCTGCCGACCTTGGGACTTAAAATGGACTTAAGTTAATGGCCTGCCATGTGGATTGGTAATATCGAGACTGTGCCTTTTTACGTGTCAACCTTGGGGCTTCTCAGCCTCAGCAGCCAGCAGCTGTCTGAGTAAAGCAATGCCTCTAGCTCCAGTGGACTGGGAATAGGAGTCAGAGCTGGACCCCAAAGTTGAGAGGCTTTTACCCAGCCCCTAGAGCCTGGCACTGTGAACTTGGACTTAAAGCTCCAAATTGTAAGAATAAACTCTTATTTGTTAAGGCCATCCCATTTGTGGTATATTCTTGTCAGATCGGCACTTGGTAACCAGAAGAGTTGTCTGTTTCATCTTCCAGTAGCTGGCAATCCTTGGCATTCCTAGTTTGTAGATAAATCTTCCCTGTATGTCTGTCTTCATATACCATTCCTCTTCCCTCCTTGTATGTGTCTCTGTGTCTAGTTTGCTTCTCTTGTAAGTGATTATGTTTGGGGCCTACATTACTTTGGTATCTCATTAATATGACAAAAGAAAACTGCTATTTCTAAACAGGTCATGTTTACAGGTACAGGATTAAAGATTTTAATACATGTTTTTGGGGTGACAATCCAATCCATAATAAGAACAACTTTTTTTTTTTATGAATGCTAGATATGCTTCAAATAGAATTAATACTAAAACTTTTATTTTCCTTTTTAATTTCAGAGACATATTCAGACATTTATATAAACAGAGGAATAAAGATAATCTACAATGTCTGGCACCGAGGAAAATCTTTGTCACCACATGAAAGTAGTTGTCCGTGTACGTCCTGAAAACAAAAAAGAAAAGGCAGCTGGATTCCATAAAGTAGTTCATGTTTTAGATCAGCATATCCTAGTTTTTGATCCCAAACAAGAAGAAGTCAGTTTTTTACAAGGAAAGAAAACTATAAATCGAGATATAACAAAGAGACAAAATAAGGATCTTAAATTTGTATTTGATGCTGTTTTTGATGAAACTTCAACTCAGTTGGAAGTTTTTGAACATACCACTAAACCGATTATTCGTAGTTTTTTGAATGGATATAATTGCACAGGTAATTGTTTCAGTCTGGGCTTAATTTTTCTATCTCATTTCAGTTTTGCTTTGGGAGAGACATATGCAAGCCCTGGTTTTTAAAATTAATTTGTGAAGAAGTACAGTTGGAATGTTCCTTAGAAGTAAGAATGGCCAGACTTTGTCTCATGTACTTTGGTCATGTTATCAGAAGGGAGGGACCAGTCCTTGGAGAAGGACATCATGCTTGGTAAAGTAGAGGGTCAGCAAAAAAGGGAAAAACCCTCAACGAGATGGATTGACAAGTTGCTAGAACAGTGGGCTCAAGCATAGCCACAGTTGTGAGCATGGCACAAGACCAGGCAGTGTTTCATTCTGTTGTATGTAGGGTCTCTGAGTTGGAATTAACTCAACAGCACATAACAACAACAGGGGGCTTATTTGCTAAAAATTCCTGCAGTAGACTTTATTATAAACATAGATTTTCTTTTTTTATTAATCTCCTTTGTGACTCACATGTTATGTGAAACTCTCATGGTCTTGATAACTCTTGTAGACATTTAATATTATATATTATTGAAATATATAATTAATAAGCAGATTCGTATAGTTTTCCACTCTCACATCTTTTCCATTTCCTAAACTAGGTAGTTCTTGGAATAGGCAAATTTCTCACAATTTTTGTTCATAAATATTCCTGCTGCTTCCTTTTAACATTATCTATCCCTATGAAAGGATCAGATATTTCTGAGTACTTAGCATTTTATAACACCATTATTCTTTATAGTACCCTGAAATAAAAATGTTAAAAGCCTGTATTAACTAAGTATCTTGCACTATTTTAGCATATCATCAGCCCACGAAGCATCTCTAGTGGTTTGGATAGACTATAATAATTTGCCTGCCAAAAAGGCCATGTTACTTGCCTAGAAAGGGAGATTCAAAATGGCAAGTTAATTCAGTGTTTACACAGCAGTTAACACCATTATTGGTATTTATTTTTGTAATGTTTACTATTTATGATATTTCCGCAACAAAACTGTAACAGATGTCAATGTCTTTCAATGACTGATTCAGTTTTATTACAGATGACTTACCTTCTTGGTCAAGCAAGAATAGAATTGGAACTGCTGTGCTTATTTTTGAGCAGATACTGTTTCCTTCTTGCATGAAATTTCATATTGTCTCTAGAGATATTTTAAGGTTTTCATGACTAAAAAAAATATCAACTTACACACAGTCTTTGCTTGTTGGTTTTTCTTTATGTTCTTATCCACCTGTCATACGACTTCTTTATGTCCTGGTTTACATAAAACAGAACAAAGTAAAACATGCATCAGTTTAATTCATTTTACTAAACAGTGGTTTTTTCTCATTTGTTAATATTTAGTATAGCAAAGAGATTAAATGTATAAAAATATTATTAACCAGTAGTAGTGTGTGGACTTAATACCTCAACTGGGTGTTTGTTATATATACTTTAGAGTGATTTTTTATATATATATACTTGAAGAAACAATGACTTATTTTGTATTGAATTGAGTATTTAGAACAAAGTAATTTTCTTAGAAGAATTTTAGAAAGAATTTTGTAAGTTATTGTATTGAGTGCCTACTCCATGCCAGGTGTTTGCTACGCATCTCTGATTTTGTAGAGCTTAACTGTTGTAGATACAGCGTGATGCTTGCCATAATAGAGGAAAGTGCACATATTGAAAGGGCTCAAATGAGGAACCGGAAGCTTCTACCTAAGACAATCAGGGAAGGCATATAAAAGTGGAAATTGTGCTGAGTATTTAGGGAAAAAAAAAATAGAAATCTTCCAATTGTATTAAGCAGAGGAACTCCCCAGGGCAAAAGCAGTAGATTAGGAAAAGAACAGCACGATGAGGGAACTTCACATAAATTAGTATGCCTAGATCCCAGCAAGAAGAGATGAGTCTGAAGAGATAGCCAGGATCCCTTTCTTACAATGCCTTATAGTATTATAATATTTGGACTTTTCTCCTATAGCACATACTCATATTTCTTTTTCATAAAATCAATTCTCTACAAGTTTCAAAAGATTGATTAGAGATGATTAAGAGTGTAAAATATGGAGACAAATGATTAAAATTTGTAAGATTAATGTGGAAGTAAGGGAGTAGTTAAGGTTTCTTGGGGTAGGAGGGAGGCAAGTGATGTTACCATGAGTAAGGATGGAGAATAACAGAGTAACTAGGTGCATCCTAAAATTCCCAGATTTTGAGGATAAGACTATAAATGTTGGCTGTTGGGTTTAAAGTTATGTTCAAGGTATCCTGGTGGAACTCTCCACTAAACTGTAGATTTGTAGATGTTATATGCCATAACAAAGAGCTTTGATCCCTTTTTATAAAATCTTAGTACTTGCTTATGGTGCTACTGGAGCTGGGAAGACCCACACAATGCTAGGATCAGCTGCTGAACCTGGTGTGATGTATCTTACAATGTTAGACCTTTACAAATCCATGGATGAGATTAAAGAAGAGAAAGTATGTAGTACTACAGTTTCTTATTTGGAGGTAAGTTGGCAATAATCGTTATTTAGATTGATGGTAGTAGTGAGAAACTTTATTTAGGAGGTGCCATTGGCCATTCCAATTGTCCTATTATACAGGAATTTTTTTATTATACAGAAAAAAAAAAATCATTAAAATTCTTGGTCTTGGGTATTTATGCACCTGCCTCATTTTGTGGTTTTATTTTTGTTTGTTTTGTTTTTTTTGCACAATTTCAGATAAAGAAAAGCTGTAATAGTAGTATAAACAACCCCCAGGTGTTCTTCACCTACATTCTGCATATATATATTAACACTTTGCTACATTTGCTTTCTCTATGTATGTGTGTGCTTATTTGACTGTTTTTCCTGAACTATTTAAGAAAAAGTTGCAAACTTGTTATAAAAAAACAAACTATTTGCTTACAGAACCAATGTATAATTATCAAAATTAACAAGGATATACTATTATTATCTGATGAAGTTAATGTAATTTTTTTCCCCTAATTATTAGTGTTTTTTATTATGAAAGAAAACCCAATATCATGAATTGCATTCAGGGGTCATGTCTCTTTAGTCTCCTTTAATCATGAATGTTTTTGAGTCTTTGTATTTTCATAACACTGTCGTTACACATCATACCAATTTGGATTTGTTAAGAATAGTGAGATTCAGATTATGCACTCAGAAGTGATGTTGAGTTGCTCTTATTGCATCTTAACAAGAGGCTTATGGTTTTCATCTTGTTACTGGCAGTGTTAACTATTTGATTGGATACATTGGTGTCTGTAAGATTTCTCCACTGTAAAGATACTCTCTTATTCTTTGTGATTACTAAGTACTTGATGGAGAGAATATAAATATACTCTTACTCCTCAAACTTTCATCCACTAGTTTTAGGAAATGTCCATTAATTCTTCCCTGATGGTGGATTATGGTGGTTTTTAAGTTCAATAATTTCTTCTACATTAATTCTTTGGCTTTCTACATTAAGGAAAAGCTTTTTCTTCCCTTTTGTTACATCATTGTGATTTTATTCTTACTTTATTCAGTAGCTTACAATTCCTTACTATATTTATTTGTATTCTCAACTTTTACCAGATTTAGCCAGTTTAAACTCCTTCAAGCTGCCTCCTGTGTCCTTTTAACATACCCTACCATTCTGTAAGGCTTTTTCTACCTTCTTAGTCAAGGAGTTCTGGTGATGTACTAGTCAAGGCATTTGGCTACTAACGAAATGTGCTTCAGACCTACCAGCCACTCCACAGAAGCGAGATGGGGCTGTCTGTTTCGATAAAACTTTATAGCCTTGGAGACCCAGTAAGAGTTGCTAATAAGTCAGAATTGCCTCAATGACAGTGAGGTTTTTTTTTCTGTTTTTGTTTTACCTTCTTAGTCATAGCTGGCATTCAGCAAATACTTACTGAATGGCAGGCCCTCTAACTTTGCATTTAGATAGTGTTTCAGAAACCAGTTGAGAGACCTTCAACTTTTATTTCAAGAGTTCCAGTAAGAGGACAGAATAGGCAGAAAGACTGCACAGACCCTCTTCAACAAAGAAAAGGGGAACCAATTAACACAGATACAGAAGATAATCCTGGATCCTTGAGCCTTGAAGAGAAGGATATAGAAGTGGACTAAACTCCAACTAGCAGAAGAATTTTCATGAAAACACCAAAAAAGGAGACATATGGAGCTGCGGTCTGGCAGCGATCCTGACAGTACAGACAGCTTGGATATCACCGAGTGGTGGTAGGACCTAAGAATTAACCTAAAAATCACCCTGCTAGCCAGGGACTGCACTAAGGACTGTTCTGGTGGCTGGGAAATAAAAAGAGAAGCAGCAAAAAGAAGGCAGGCTGAGCTGTGGACTTCTGTCTGTCCGGAGGGTGCAGCCATTTTGAATGTCTACAGGTGGCTTGACCATTTTGGATATGTAAAGCAACAGCATTCTCCCAGATTCCAGGGACTTAAGAACAGGCTCCACTTGCCAGTAACACCAAAGACATTCCAAACCCAGATGACTGGAAAGGTGCAACATTCCCCTTGTTACTCTTATACCCCACACCCTCTTGGTGAATGGAGTTGTGGCCATCCCTCATTCCCACCCACTTTCTGGGCCGGCAGGAATTCCATCCCAATCTATGGTCTCAGATGGAGCCTGGGTGCCCTGCCCCAATGTTTTTTTGCTTTTTCCTGTTTTTTAGTTTGTTAGTTTTTGTCTGTTTTAAAACTACTATTATTGCTATTACTTTTGTCATTTTTACTATTACTCTTTATTCTTCCCCTCCCAGGTTCTAGTTTTCAGCTTTTTTTCTTTTCCCTGTTCCTAGTTTTTTTTTTTTTTTTTTTTTTCCCCTCTTTCTCATGGTTAACCCTGTTCCTTGTTTTTCTTTTTGCATTTTTCCCATTTTTTTCTTCATTATTCTACTTCTCTACCTTTTTTCCTCTTATTGCCCTCTTCCCAGATATTGCAGATTTTTTTTTTCTTTTTCTACTTTTTCTCTTTTTTCTTTTTTTTAGATACTGTTCCAGTGTGATTACACTGTTATTTTTTGTCCATTGGCTTTTACTTTTTTGATGGTTATTCATTTGTTATTTTTGTCTAACTGAGTGGAGGACAGCAACAGTCCCCATACAACACAACTATACCCATACCTCCTCCAGCTTCACTTACTGAGTGAGAGCCACCACTTCCTTCTCCACCAACAGGCCAATGATAAACAACCACCAACAAGAGACTGACTTACTTTGGCTGCTCTTCACAAATACTTAACAGAGATCTAAATACAATAATGCCACGATGTCTCGGAGACAACAGACCATCACAGTCCACACACAAAAAAGCAAGATAAAGTGATAGAAATAAGGGAGCAGGATACAGACCCAGAACACATCCCTGAGGAAGAAGCAGCATTGGAACTCTCTGGTAAGGAATTCAAAAGAATTATATTTAGATATCTTCAAAGGATTGAGAGATAGACCAAGGAAAACACAGACAAAACCCTAGGATAACTTTGGAAGAAAATACAAGAACAAAATGACAAAATAAATGAAAAATTAGAAATGATTCTAAATCTACAGATAGAAATCCAGAAGATTAATTCTAAATTGTCAGAAATAGATAACATAGATAACACATTGGAGGGGCCAAGGAGTAGAATTGATGCAATGGAAGACAGAATTAATGAGATTGAAGACAAATACCTGAATACGTCTTTGGAAAGGGATCAATCAGAAAAAAGATCAAAACAAAATGAAGATAGCCTACGGTTCACGTGGGATACGATCAAAAGAAATAACCTATGTGTCCTTGGAATTCCAGAACAGGAAGAGAAAAATAAAACCACTGAGAAAATTGTCCAAGATTTGTTGGAGGAGAACCTCCCTGATATGGTGAAAGATGAGAATATATCCATTCAGGAAGTCCAACAAACCCCAAACAGGATAGACCCCAAAAGAAAATCACCAAGACATACCATCATCAAGCTCATTAAACTTTTATTTCACTCTTCGTTTTGGCATCAGAGAAAATTTCTGATAATCATACCTCTCTTATTGCCATCTCCTAGTTTGATCCAGACAGAATTTCTTCATATTCCAAGAATGAATTAAAATCTTACATGTTTCTAGAGATTTTCTTGTTAGTCTAAAGCTAACAGAGAATTAAGACTCATTTCCTATAATTAACTAGTGAAAAAAATTGTTATGAACTCAATTATTGAAGAGGGCAGCAATATTAAAATTTCTCCTTAGATCCTTTTATAACTGGAGGAATTTTAAAGTTTGGTTGTTTTCATGGTTTTTGTTTTAATTTTTTCAAGATTTCTTTTCTCTCTTTTTAATCTGCTTTCTTTTTTTTTTTAGCAGTAAGACAGTTTCTCCTCTTAACAATTTTCCATCCAGGCTGTACACCAGAATTGCCTAGGAGCTTTTTTGAAAAATAGAAATGTCTGGGTTTAATCCCCTATATATGTTAATTTAAAGAATTTGAGGTGTCACCTAGGCAGCTATATTTTTAGACATGATTGAGGTGAATAAAGAGAAGCATTAGAAAAGTGATTACTGCTTACAGGGAAATAACTTTAGAAACTCCATACTATCATTATTCTACATTTAAGAGGTTCGTTATATTTGAAAATAATTTTTCATTGTAAAAAATTGTACCAACAATAAATTATCACTGGAGTATTAAAGTGCGAAAATAATTTATATAAAATAATTGTGAAGACTAATAATTATTTTAAATATTTTATCAATAATAGTTGTAATTGTCATTTGGTGTGTAAGTAGTAAACACTGTATACTTAATACCTTCATAAAATCAGTTAGTAGTATTGTTTCTGTAATTAAAAACAAAAAACACAGATGTGATTGGATACCATGTAGTAGAGTATGGGATTTTTGGCTTCAAGACCTACCCTGCTATTATCTTTGTGACTATGAACAGTCACCTAATCTTTTCATTCAAATGAGCGAGTCATTTGGAACTCATCATTGGGAATTATATTTTAAGCTTAACATAATTCAAGAATAAATGAAATTAATGCCATCTATCCTCAAGTATAAGGTGCTCTTTAACTCTTAAGCTCTAAAATTGTAAAAATCCATACTATTTGCATATCATGAAATTATAAATGTCATCTTCAGCAAGAACCATGCCATCATCATACAACCTGCATTTCATATCCATAGGAATTTCCCAAAACTATGTGTCTACTATATTTCCCAGGAAATAAGAAATAGCAATTTCCACCATCTTACTTATCTCTCTTTAATTATAGTCATCAAGTCAGGAATTATGGATTAAGAGTATAATGATTCTAACTTAGTTTCCATTTCAAACCTAAATAAACTCTTCTGTTTTTCTGGGATGGCAGAAATGATGTATCCTTATGACAACATAAGGTAGAAGAGGTACAATACATGAAAAACGAACAATGAATTGTTTTTGAGATATAATATGCATGTATGTGTGGATGTATGCACAAGTACATGCTTGCACTCGTGTGTATGTGTGTCTGTGTTACTGTTTTCTATCAGTAACTAAAGTCGTTCTTTTTATTTTAAGGTATATAATGAACAGATTCGTGATCTCTTGGTAAATTCAGGGCCACTTGCTGTCCGTGAAGATGCCCAAAAAGGTGTGGTGGTTCAGGGTTTGAGTTTACATCAGGTATGTGTTAGAAGCTTGTTTTTCCTCTGGTAGAAGAGCAAGTGTAGTTATTTAGCTGTTTCAATCAGCACTTCACTTACTTCGTATCCTGAAGGTAATGAAGGAAAGAAGAAAATAAGAGTATGTAAATAAAATGATCAGGATATGTTCTTGCTTCATTTGAAATAATTGAGTGAGTTTTTATATCAAAAATCCACTTGAACATTTTCTATCATGTATTATTTTGCATTATGCAGTTATTTTTTATAACAGATACTAGAAGAATTTTATTTTTCTAGTTTGTATATAACATCCAGCAAAGTACTAAGCAAGCGATATACAGTCAATATTGAATAGGATTGAATTTATAGAATGTATTATTTTCTTACATTTTATGTTCAAAATTCTTCTTGCTTATGAAAACTTTATCGAAAAATTTAAAGGTCAATTACTAATTTGTATATTTTTCTTCTATAAAACTTCTAGCCCAAATCCTCAGAAGAGATTTTACAGTTACTAGATAATGGAAACAAAAACAGATCACAGCATCCCACTGATATGAATGCTACATCTTCTCGTTCTCATGCTGTTTTCCAGGTAATAGGCCACTAGACTATCACTTGTAAAAGTAAATTTAAAAAAAATAAAGCCCAATTCAGGTGAAAGAAAAAAAAAATCTTCATTTGAGGGCTTCTCTACTTCTAGCACTTCCTTTATTTTGTAACTTTGAGAAGTTTCTATCACAAAGAATTTTTAGAACTGAGATAACAAATCAGAAATATAAATTTTCACTTTTGTAAAGAGATAGGATGGTAAAGTGGCAGAGATATTTATTTTTCTCAAGGTGGTGAAAATATTTAATCTTTCGAATAGATAATCGTGTATTCAGAACAAAATTTTGCTCTATAAATCTAGAATCACAGGATAAATAAATTGAGGTAATGTTGATTCAGTTTTTAAAAGATTTGACCGTTGAGATCAAATAGGTATTCTTATCTGTTGATGAAGTATGTTTCAGTTTAATAAAGTAATTTTTAGGAATACAATTTCAGAAAGAGTGAAAGAATAGGTAAGTAGCTATTTTTACTTGTAATTTCTGGTCTTGTTAATATACAGATTGTTATAAGATCTCATTCTGGATTATGCCATTTGGTATTCATAAGAAAGGAATACTTAAATTGAAACAATTCATATCTGAGGTAATTGAGCCATTCACAAAGTCTCCAGTACACAAAATTTTGTTAATCTTTTCTATTCTTACTACTGGCTTTTCTTAATACTTCATCTAACAGTGATCTCAGAGAAATGTTTATTTGTGACACCTTGATTTCCCTGAAATATTTTAGACTCTGCTTTATAAGAAAATTAGAATAAAAGGATCTTTAATGGAGTAAGAACTTGCTCATGTCTTTTAAGTTTATTGTCTAATGTATTTCAGTTAAACTGCTACAGAATAGCTTAAAATAGTTGACTAAATTATGCTTTTTTCTTATGGACAGTTGAATATAACAGGTGTACTTAGCCATCTTTGTTATATATGATATTTTCTTAATTATAACGATGTGCAACAATTTTAGAAATTTTAATTAACTCACTCTTCAATTTGGGGGAACATAAAGTATGTATTTCTCTTTAAATTTGTTAAATCTTATCCTCATTTTCCCTATTCACTTTTCATTTCAAAAGATATACTTGCGGCAACAAGACAAAACAGCAAGCATCAATCAAAGTGTTCGTATTGCCAAGATGTCACTTATTGACCTGGCAGGGTCTGAGCGTGCCAGTGCTACAAGTGCTCAAGGCATCCAGTTTAGAGAAGGCACAAATATTAATCAGTCACTTTTAGCTCTTGGGAACGTCATCAATGCCTTAGCAGATGCAAAGGTAGGTACTTTATATTATTTGTTTAAATATTTTATTTGGAACATACATAATTCTTAGAAAGATCTCACTGCCATCAAGTTTGATCTGACTTATAGCGACCCCTCTTTGGGTTTCGAAGGCAGTATCACTACGGAAATAAATTACCCAAACTTCCTTCCAAGAAGTAGCTGGTGGGTTTGAACCACCAGCCTTCTGGTTAGCAGTCAGATGCCTTAAGCACTACGCCACCAGAGCTCTCTAGAAAGATACTAATATAATTTTATTTTTACATTCTATTACAAATTAAATTTCAAAACCATATAAATTATGTTTACATGTAGATTAAATACCTCAGAGAGCCCAGTCTCTCAAACTGTGTCTTTAAATTGTTCTAAATTTGTCACTTTATAATTAGAGTTGATTGAATGAAAAGTATTGAATATTAAATTGATAATTGGCATTTTATGATACCTTTTTTTCACTTATTTTGAACTTAATTTTTTAAATGATCATTTTATGATTCTACACCATAGCAAGTATGATATCTGAATCGGCATGGATTCAAAACAAAAAGTAAAAGCATATCTTAAAAAACTAAATTCTGTTCACGTTAGTGTTGTGCATATTGTAAAATTGAGCTAAATATTAAGAAATGTTATTTTTCTTAAAGAGGGAGAATGGTTTAAAGTATAGTATGTAAGGAAAACATGTAATAGGCTAATATTTACGAGATGCTTGAGAAGCATGTAAAAACATTTTTGTATATATGATATACCAGAAATGTTTATAGAAATACATCATATTTAATAACTTTTATGTTTATGAAAACAACATCCGTTTTTAAATTTAAATTCAGGTCACGTTCAAACCAGGCACAGAGGCTTTAGGAAAATTCTCTTAAACTGTTCTAAATGTTAAATTTTGATTTAATATAAAATGGTGCAAAGTAAAACTTAGGGAATATTATAAGAAGAGAGAGAAATTACTGAAATCACATGAAAAGTAAAAAAAGCTATCTTTTATATTCTAAGGTAAGATCTCACATAAGCAGAAAGCATGATATAGAGATGGGTTTGCTAAAGTCAAGCCATTCATATAATTTATAATTGACTCCTAGTTTGTTGAATAAATTTATTCTACAAGAATACTTTATCTCACTACCATAACTGAAAAATAAATTGCTGTAAATGGTAGAAAATCGTAAAATGAGCACAATGAGAACACGACAGTGTTACTAAATTCTGATTGTATGTTGTTTGCTGAAGGCTCTAAGTCAGAGACTTAAAAGAGAGATTATAGTGTTACACAGTTATGAGAATAATAATCACAAAGCCACTTTTCTGAACGCTTCTTTCCTGATGCCAGCAGCCATGAAGCAGTTCTTTCTCTGACCCTAACCCCACCCCCCACCACTCATTTGTCATTTTGTCATGCTGTGGTGGCTTATGTGTTGCTGTGCAGCTGGAGTCTATGCCACTGCTTTTTCAAATACCAGCAGGGTCACCCATGGTGTACAGCTTTCAGCGGAGCTTCCAGACTAAAACAGACAATGAAGAATGAAGGGGCCATCCACTGCTCAAAGTATTAGCCAGTGAAAACCTTATGAATAGCAGTGAAATGTCTGATATATTACTGGAAAATTTAAGAATAGCTCTGAAACATTGTCTGATACAGTACTGGAAGATGAGCCTCTCAGGTCGGAAGGCACTCAAAATATGACTGGGAAAGAGCTGCCTCCTCAAGTAGTCAACTTTAATGATGTGGATGGAGTAAAGCTTTCAGGACCTCCATATACTGGTGTGGCATGACACAGAAAGTGAAGAAACAGGTGCAAACATCCATTAATAATCAGAACATGGAATATTTGATGTACGAATCTGGGAAAATTGGAAGTTGTCAAAAATGAAATGGAAGACATAAAGATTGATATCCTATGAATTACTGAGCTGAAATGGACTGATTTTGGCCTTTTAGAATCAGAAGAGGAATGGCATAGCATCCATTGTCACAAAAAATGTTTCAAGATCTATCCTGAAGTGCAGTGCTGTTGGTGATAGGATGGTATCCATATGCCTACACAGAAAAGCAGTTAATACTACTATTTTTCAAATTTATACAGCAATGACCAAAGCCAAAGGTGTGGAATTTAAAGATTTTTACCAAGCTTTGCTGTCTGAAATTGACCAAACATGGAGTCAAGGTGTATTGATTATTACTAATGATTGGAATACAAAAGTTGGAAACTGAGAACCACTAGTAGTTGGAAAATAATGGTATTGGTTATAGAAATGACACCAAAAATCACATGATAGAATTTTGCAAGACCAACAACTTATTCATTGCAAATAACTTTTTTGAAGAACTTGAATAGTGGCTGTACACATGGACATCACCAGATGGAATACACAAGAATCAGATTGACTACATCTGGAAAGAGATGATGGAGAAGCTCAATATGTTCAGCCAGAACAAGACCAGGAGCTATCTAGGAAAGAAACCATCAGTTGCTCATATGCCAATTCAAGTTGAAGCTGAAGAAAATTAAAACAAGTATACAAGAGCCAAAATATAACCTTGATTATATCTCACCTAAATTTGGAGACCATCTGAAGAATAGAATTGATTCGTTGAACACAAGTAACTGAAAACCAGACGAATTGTGCTATGACACCAAGAACTTCATACATGAAGAAATCACAAGATCATTAAAAAGACAGGAAAGGAAAAAAAAAAAGGGATGTCAGAAGAGATTCTAAAACTTGCTCTTGAATGGAAAGTAGCTAAGCAAATGGAAGAAATGACAAGATAAAAGAGCTGAACAGAAGATTTTAAAGAGCAGATCAAGAAGATAGTCGGTTATTATAATGTAACATGCAAAGACCAGGAGTTAGAAAATCCAAAGGTAAGAACACACTCAGCATTTCTCAAGCTGAAAGAACTGAATAACAAATTCAAGCCTCGAGTTGCAATATTGAAAGATTCTATGGGTAAAATACTGAGAGATGCAGGAAACATCAAGAGAAGATGGGAGGAATACACAGAGTCACTGACTCACTGTACCAAAAACAATTGCTCAATGTTTATCTATTTCAGAAAATGGCATATGATTAAGCACTGGTGGTACTGAAGGAGGAAGTCAAAGCTGCACTGAATGAATTGGTGAAAAACAAGGCTCCAGAAATGTTTCAACAAACAGATGCCACGCTGGTAGCACTTCCTCATCTATTCCAAGAGATACAGTGGATAGCTGCCTGGCCAACTGACTGGAAGAAATTCATATTTGTATCCATTCCAAAGAAAGGTGATCCACAGAATGTGGAAATTATCAAACAATATCATTAATATCATACTCAGGTAAAATTTTGTTGAAGATAATTCAGAAATGCCTGCAGCAATATATTGACAGGAAGCTTCCAGAAATACAAGCTGGAATCAGAAGAGGACATAGAAGGAAGAATATCATTGCTGATATCAGATGGACCTTGGCTGAAAGCAAAGACTACCAGAAAGATGTTTACTTCTGTGTTATTGACTATGCAAAAGCATTTGACTGTGTGGATCAAACAAATTATGGATAACATTGAGAAGAGTGGGAATTACAGAACATTTGATTGTGCTCATGAGAAACCTATACACAGACCAGGAGGCTGTTGTTCAAACAAAGCAAAGGGATACCACATGGTTTAAAATCAGGAAGGGAGTGTGTCAAGGTTGTATCCTTTTGCCATACTTATTCAATCTGTATGCTGAACAAATAATCTGTGAAGGTGGATTATATAAGGAACATGGATCAGGTTTGGAGGAAGACTCATTAACAATCTGCGATATGCAGACGACACAACTTTGCTGAAAGTGAGGATGACTTGAAGCACTTACTGATGAAGATTAAAGACCACAGTCAGCAGTACAGATTACACTTCAACATAAAGAAAATGAAAATCCTCACAACTGGGCCAATAAGCAGCATCATGATGAATGGAGAAAAGATTGAAGTTGTCCAAGATTTCATATTACTTGGTTCCACGGTCAACACCAATGGAAGCAGCAGTCAAGATATCAGATAACATATTGCACTGGGCAAATGTGCTGCAAAAGACCTCTTTAAAGTGCTGAAGAGCAGCAATGTCTCTGAAGATGAAGGCGCGCCTAATCCAATCCATGGTATTTTCAACCGTATCATAGGGATGTGAAAGCTGGACAGTGAATAACGAAGACCAGAGAAGAGTCGATGCTTTTGAATTTGGTGTTGACGAAAAATACTGGAAGTGCCATGGACTGCCAGAACTAACAAATCTGTCCTAGAAGAAGTGAGCTGGAATGCTCCTTGGAAGCCAGAATGTCCAGACTTTGTCTGACCTATTTTGGTAATGTTGTCAGAAGGTACCATTCCCTGGAGAAGGATATCATGCTTGGCAAAGTGGACGGTCACTGAAAAAGAGGCAGGCTCTCAACAAGTTGGATTGACACAGTGGCTGCAATGATGGGCTCATGTACAGCAAGGATATGAAGCTAGCGCAGGACGGGGCAATGTTTTGTTCTGTTGTACATAGTGTTGCTATGAGTCAGATCTGATTTGAGGGCACCTAACAAGAGCCACACCCTAACTCAGATCTCACAAGTTAAAAGGACACTGTCTTTCAGATTTCCAAATAGATATCACCACAAGTTTGGGTTTTCACGCAATACCTTCAACACCTGTGCCACCCACAATTTTGGGAGTTCCTTCACTTCTGACCTGCTGGTTCTTGCTATTTTTTTTTGCTTTTAATAATTCACAGGAAGTAACTCATAGAACTCACAGAAGATACTTATGATCATAGCAAAAAACTGTATGTGTGTTGTTGTTACATGGTGTTGAGTCAGCTCTGAATTGTAGTGATCCTATGTACAACAAAACGAAACACTGCTTGCTCCTGCATCATCCTCCCCATCCTTGCTATAGTTGAGCTCATCATTGCAGCCGGTGCGTTGGTCCATCACATTGAGGGTCTTTCTCTTTTTCTCTGACCCTCCACTTTGCC